GAGCTCTCTGTCTTACTCTTTCTTTTCTCAAACTCCTCTGACCAAGATCTAGCTTCCTCTATGTCCTAAGCTCCCAACCCGGTCCCTGAAGGCCGCCAGGCTTTGCCGGAGCTGACATTCCCCGAATCACTGCTGCAAACAATCTGCAGTCTGTAAGGCAGTTGTAATTAGAAACTGTGTCATTTGATTCTCATCTTTCAGGGACTCAGGTCTTCAATACCTCAGGTTCAACATGGTAACAATGATTCTTTTATAATACATTTTAATTGAGACTAAAAGGTAAACCTGACCTCGTGAGTGCATTATAGAAGCAGAAGTTTAATTTTTCAAAATATTTCTGCCTTATTTAGGATCCTTTTTTGCCAACTCTTCATTCACCTTTTGACCTAAAAACAAAAACTAATTAAACTGTTGTACTATGAACTAGAAAGAAAAGAAACCAATCAATTATATTTCATTTTTATTCTGTACATTTCCACACAATTCACAATACAGAAAAAGTGTCCAAAAAGTAAGTATAACTAGTCAATTTCTTTTTCAGAGATTAATTCAGACCCCCAAATTAATTCCATTGAAAATCTCTGTATAGCAACACAGTGATCAAGATTCTTTATATAAATAGGAAATGCGAGAAAATTAGGGAAAATACTTTGTGACTTTATTACAAAAAAACTCCATTCTTCCCTTCCCCAACCCACCCTTCCCTCCCACCCTCCCTCCACTTCATAGTATCTGGATTCCACTTTACCTGGAAATAAAACTTCCCCTTCTACTGCCATAGCTGCTACTACCGGGGGGATCCCACCCTGCAGCCGCCAGCTTTACAGTGGCATGGCTCTGGGTGTAATTGGACAGAGTCAGAAAGCACGAACGAGCCCTTTATAACATGACTGCAACTCGTCACATACATGTAGCCTCTGTTAGTGACCCACCCACAGCCTACCTAGATGGTCCTTAGAATGCCTAGGAGCCTTTTCACCCGAGAAAATCAAGTTACAGCAAACACTTCGATTCTGATGGCAACACCAGCCACTTAATGCTTCATAGGTCACTTCTTTGCTTTCAAACAGTTGTGGGCCACAGAGCATTCCTGGTAGTCCACTTAACCATTGGCAAATTAAAAAAAAAAAAACAAAAAACAAAAACAAACAAACGAACAAACAAACAAAAAAACAGCTGAGCAAGCAAATATGAGGCTGATTTGGACCCTGTCTTTTCAGTACTTGGTTTTCAGAGTATCCTACTGCATTGCAACATTCTGTTTTTAAAAGTCTCCAGTTTCATTCCCTGGAGCAGAAGCTCCACTGTTTCCTAATCCACAAATAGCACATCAGCAAGCAACAAGATTCTAGCTACACTGCAAATTAAGCATACATGTGCATGGGTTAATGCTTCAGTCAAACCGGTGAGAAGTGTGGGGGCAGGGCAGGAAAGGAAAAATGTCTCTGATGGTAAAACCCGAAGGTAAGAAGACATTTGGATGCATTACACAAGGTGTTGTGTGTATCAGATGAGAAATATTTTAAACGCCATGAACCTGAAGAACACATTTGTGAGAACTGCTCATGAATTTAAACAAAAGACCAAATCAATGTAGGACTGTCATTTCCTTGGGTTTTGTAATTTTTGTTTTGCTTTCATCTTAGCGGAGATGATTTGTAAACAGCTCAGATCCATCATTTTTTTAAAGAGGAAAAAGGATAGATTTATATCCCCAAATAACAAGGTCTACTATCTCAATAGTTAACATGAAAGTACATTTAAATTTGTGGATGGAATTCTTTAAGTTGATCTTTTCCTTTTCAACCTTTATTATGGGCCAACACAAATCTGTGACTGAGTCTAGCCTGTGAACAGTTGAAGAAAGTCTCAAACATTATCCTACTCTTGTGGGAGTTCTACTACAAACAGCTTCCATTAGTTGCCCCATCTCCCCTGTAAATTCCACATTCAATCCAATTCTACTGAGCTGCATAAACTGAAACTTCCAGCTAACACTCCTTGAAGCCACTCAAAAGTTTGATTTCTACATTGGGTTTTCATGAGGACAATGCCTGATGAGTGTGTATGCTATTTGTGAATTGCCATGAGAACCTATGCTAATACCAGAGTCATCTTATTGTTTGTGCTACACCTGGGAATCTCTTTAAAATTTATTTTTGTCTCTCCTTATAACTCTGCTCTTATTTTTCTTTCCCAAGCTGAAGACAAGGAGTGGGGCATGAGAGAAGAGAGAATGGGGTTGTAAAACCTTCCTCAGAGGAGAACCCTAGATACTACAGGTCCCTAATTATCTGAACACTGACGTTCCCACCCAATCCCAACCAGAAATCCAGGAAGCTAGGACTTAGGCATCACCATTGTAGACAATAGGGAAGATGATCAGTTAAGACAATAATCTCCTTAAATAAAAATATTATAGAAAAACTAGTCTATTGACATGAGTTTACATCTTATTGGGTCACAGAGAGGTGTAGAAAGGCTTCTCTGTTTCTTTATAGCCAGAAACACATGGGCATTTCAGGTCCTTCTCTAAGACCCAGCCCCAAACACAAGGGCAACAAAGAGAAAAAGAAAAAGGAAAAGAAAAGAAAAACGCGCGCGCATGTGTGTGTGTGTGTGTGTGTGTGTGTGTGTGTGTGTGCGCGCGTGTGTGTGTTCCTTAACTTGTGACTATGACTTTCAGAATCAAAGGAAATATGTATCTTTTTCAGATTGGGGAGCTGACCCTCTCTCCCTCTTTCTTCACACATGCGTGCAAGCACGCGTACACATGTGTGTGTGTATGTGTGAGAGAGACAGAGAGAGAGAGACAGACAGACAGAAAGAGAGACACACAGACAGAGAATGAACAAATATTTAAAATCACAATATTTCTGCTTCCAACGAATTTGGGCTATGTTTATAATGAATAATAATTTTTGAAAAAATGCCTTTGATCCCCCAAAAAAGTTGCTATCTATTTGTTAGGAACCTAGGAGCAAACAGGCTCTAAGGTTTACTTCAGCCAAAATAATAGAAAACTAAACCTGGGAAATAACATTTTTCCAAGATCTCTCACAATTAAGGATTGAGTTTCTTATGATCCCTGAGCTGACTTTAATCTTCATGTAAGTACTAGAAGAAATAGTTGAAAAAAACATGTTGTTTCTCGAAGAAGCCCAACTGATTTTTCTGGATTCAATGTCCATAAATGAAAAGCCTTATACAATACAGCTACAAGTGGTTCACCCCTCTTTTGATCTTTTCTCCCCTTGGCTTAGAATCTGCACACTGTTTGTCCCCTAGAGCATGGATCTGACAGCAGCAAACAGCCAGTCTCCTTTAGACATTCTTTTTTTGTTGTTGTTGAAAAGTTCATAACATAATTATTTTGTTTTTTTATTTTTTTAGATATTTTTTATTTTTAAATTTAAATTTAAATTAGAAACAACGTTGCTTCACATGTCAATACCAGGTCCCTCTCCGTTTCCCTCCCCTCCTCCCGTGCCCTCCCACCAACCCCCCCAATGTCCCTTCATTTCCCCAGGGAGGGTGAGGCCCTCCATGGGGGTGCCTTTGGACATTCTTTATTCCTAACCTAACATTGCCTTTTTTATTTTTGGATCAGATATCCTATTATAAATTCATCAGTCTGCCTATAGGCAATCTTGGGAGAATATGAGATCTGAATGGGAGAACGTTATCTATTCTTTCCAGTTCAAGCACAGCATAGTTTCCCATATGTGTCTGAACATCTATGTATGTGATTGTGTAGGATGAACTTTGCACCTACACCCTCCCATAAACAGAATGATGCCTTGAATGATAGGGCCACTATCAATACCATTTGGTACAGCATTCTGAAACAATAATAGACTTCAAAGGAGGCAAAATAGTATTTTCATTTATATATGTGTGTTCATGGGAGTGCACGCACACACACACACAAACACACACACACACAGAGAGAGAGAGAGAGAGAGAGAGAGAGAGAGAGAGAGAGAGAGAGAGAGAGAATCAAAAATAGCTGAATCATCAATCGTCACCCCAGCTCTTTGCATTGAATTTACCCATGCCCACATAGGAATGCCTCTTGATAACACAAACTCTAGAATTCTAATTTTAAGGTCTCTCTTGGTTCTGTTCAGCTTGGTTATGGAATCTCAGGGAGATTTTTCCCCCATGGAGTAACCTTTGTATCATGGATATCTGAACAACAGATGTAAAACTGCATTGGAGGTACTGGTGGGAGACTATTTTCCTAGAGAGCACATAGTCAGTCAGGTTGGTCTGTAATTTTAACAGATCCCTTATGTAGTGGGGACTCTATCACTGTGTGATACTGTACAGGCTGAATTCACTATGCTGTAACCCAGTTTAGAACATCTGACCTGCATTAGATACCAAAGCTCAGAAGTGTCGAAATGCATCAAACTAACAGAGCACTGACTTAAAAACCCTGATGGAAGTCCTTAATAAAAAGTATTTGAATTGTTGCTTAAATTACTTCATACTGTAAGCCACATGTGTCTCTCAATAAAAAGCTGAGAAAAGAAAGAGTCCGAATTGCTTCCACTACCAAAGGCAGCCAACTTAGACACCAGTGGCCCCCAGGTGCTCAAACAATGGAAGCAGAGGGAAAGCCTATCCCACCGCTGGGTCTGTATTTCATTCCTTGCAACTATGATGTTGGTACCAGAAGCCAAGGGATTTGCCATGATGCCTTTCATGTACATTTACTTAGCTCCAAAGTGTCTCTGAAGCAGGATTTCTTTCTGTGATTAGATTACAGTTAATTCTAAGAACTTCAAGTCACAGCACTTTGTCATATTGGAAGAATGGCAAGATTTCCAATAAGGCTTTACTTGAGAGTGTCCAAGAATATTCATCAACACCCAAAACGTTTTCAGGAGAATTTTAAAATTTTATCTCCTTATGTGCTTTCCTTTTTTTGAGTTCTCGAATCTGTGTGTAGTTGGTTTTAATTTTTTTAAATGAGAACTAAAGACCACAGTTCCTCATGTGAAAAGCAATATTTTAATTAAGAAATTAAAGTTCTCGTTAATTTTTAAGATCAAATGTTGCCTCCGGACAAAGCCGTTTTCAAAGTGAGGTAAAGAAAATGACAATCTAATTTGCAGCCCTTCAGATCACAAATCCTAACTAGTGACATGTCTAAAGATGGTCAAATACCCTCAATCTAAATGTTTCCAGATGCTGAAAGTTTGTAACTCTGTACGGGTGCCCACAGCACTATTTGGCAACTCATACTTCATCTTCTTTACATTTAATCAAAACCCACTGAAAATTCTGCTTATTATTCCTGGGTTAGCTCATGAGAGCTGTGTTAAATAAATCTTAGCCTTTACTTAAGTTGGGTTTCTAAGTTTCATTTTAATGCCAAAGTTTCAACTGTATTTTTAAGAACATTACCAGGATTCCAGGGAACTGGAAATATAAAATAATACCATTGCATTTGCCTGCACAGAAGTAAATTATGCCAGCCAAAGGGTAACAAGAATAACAAAGACCATTGTGAACTTTCAGGGCATGCTGAGGTACCCTGAATACAACACATGGAACTTAACAAACTATTTAAGTTTGTCCTTTGTTCCCTGTCTGCTAAGGAAGTCATTTATCCTTTGCATTCATAGATAGCAATATTCTTATTGTGGTGTCTGCATCACAGTGAGTGATAAATATTTTGAAAGAAATGTTGAAATACTTGCAAATATGATGGGTTTTTGAATGTATTATTGGATGAGCATGATTGAATGTATGTATAATGAGTGCTTCCTGGGGAAACACATCAACCAACACTCAAATTTCTACTGTAAAGTATTTGCTTTAAAGCTTTATGGTCGTTCTCTGACTCCTCTTTGGGACAAGAGTAATGAATTTCAATCTTCTGGATGAGTGGGTTGTCCAGTATGGTATCTTTTGCTTATTTCTATTTTTAGGTTTCTCATTAAATGGCATTAACAACCTTAAGAAACCACAGATGGCTCTCAAGAGTATAACCCATATATAATCCTGTCCTCTGGGTAATGTTAAAAGCACATGCCACTTACACTGTATGAAATGCAAGAAATATCTATGATTGTGACCTCTCAAGTGACTGGAACAAAAACTAAATTAAACCTCACAGACTGCTTCTATGAATCAACTTGTTGTAATTCTATAGAATGGCCAAGGTCAGTAGGCATGTACCTGTCCTTTGGGAAAGAAGGGTACTTGCCCCAGAGGGAAACTTCATGTTGATATATTTCAATCATAACGTCTGGAGAAGATTTAGGCAGCTGTGAAACAAAGCAATAGACAGAAGTGCTAGAAATCTCTCAGCCAGAGAACTAGGGGACAGAAAATGAGAGATGACTGGAACATAGAAAGAGGTCATTTTATCAGCTGAATATGAAGTTCAGTGCCGAGAAACACCAAGAGATTGAAAGCCAATGGTTTTTGCGATGTGGGCAGAAGGGAGTTTATACTAAATACTCATTACAGTGTGTTCAGATAGTTAATTTAATACACGGTCTTTCTTTTCCTAACATGAATATAATTTGGTTTTGCACAGAACAATTAGCAGTCTTAGTTGGGGGTTATGATGAGCCATTTTAACAAAATTCTATTTTTACTTTTAAAGAGCAAAACTGAATAAAACAGCATGCTGTGCTCCATGATTTAATTAGCTTCTCCTACTGGAAGACAAGCTGCTTCAACCCCCAGACCACACCCAAGCATCTACCCTTTCCTGACAATAGCTTGCTCTAGTTAAATAACATTGGAAAGCAGACTAGGTGCTGATCTTACCAACTCAGCTTTAAAGCAGCGAGGGGATCATGGAAGAAAGAATTCTCCTTTACTTCCTTGAGATCCAAAAAGAGACAATCCACAGAGCTAAGGTTGGTCCTGCGCATCATGGAAAGCAACATGTAAATAATCAGTAGACTTACTGATCATGGAAGGTATGACTCTGACAATAGCCAATGCCATGTACAACTACAGTGATGCAGAGAGAGAAGCCAGCTCAGGAATGGAGGAAATAACAATTAAATGAAATTCTGTTACTGTACCAATTATTGTCTACTAGTGTTAACTGTACACATAAAGATGACTTGCATGCTTTCAAAATATCTTCTTTTCTAAACATATGCAATATGTGAATATGGCATATATGCCCATATATGTATACAAATAAATACATTTCTATTTAGGTATGGATGGATATGTGTGTACATGTACAGATATGTGTGTATATTTGCAAGGTATTTCTGACATAACATACAAGCAATCATGTTTGTCCACATTGACAGTGTTTCTTGCTGGGTACCGAGATACACCAGCAGAGGACCCAATCCCTTCATGCTGAAAGTGGTACTTCCTGTGGAGTTAAATAGAAATTTTATAAAAATGCGTGTGCTACTTCCACACCTTAAATGTGTGCTCATACAACTGATGTGTGATAAAATGTAACTGCCACCCCTTATTTTCTTAGACTTAAATATCCTAGGGATTCTAGTAAGTACATTTCAGAGATCTACTAGGCAAAGGAGTCTCTGCTAGGTCCCAGTGGATAGCAATGCCCTGCTGAGCATCTCAGAGTCCAGACAAATCTGCCTGGGCAGTTTCTGGCAAGAAGGCAGCAGGACAAGGGAGCCTTACACCAGTTCTTACTAATGTCGCTGCAGCTGAATTCTGCTTTAGAACTCCCACTGGGTTTCAATCAACACCTCTATGGGGGTGACCAGAAATCTCAAGGCAAGATTCCCAGTCACACTACTAAGCCTTCTAGGCTAACTAATCCTCTCCTGGTCTCTGTTGCTGAATGCAGTAGGGGCAAGAATTGGGCTAATAGTTCACGGTCTGCATAATACAAGGTTACTAAAATGATTACCTTTACAGCTCTGGAGTTCTGTCTTAATAGCACTTCATTTTTCATCCTTCCACCAGCCTAATTTAAGGAGGAATTCCAAAGAAGACAGTTCCACAGCACAAGGGACTGGATCCAGGAGAATCAGCTAGGCTGGCTGTTCTTGCAACAGAATCCCAGGGGGATGCATAAAAATTGTTTACCATAGGTACGTATTTTTATGAGAAAGTTTGTACCATTTTCTTCTGTACCTCCAGTTGGCTCACTAATGAGGCACTAGATACTTAAGCAGAGGCAGACACTCCTGGACCACATGGCTTTAGCTCTTTCTAATGCTCACAATTATCACATACAACAAATAACTAAAAACAAATATCCTACAGGAGGTAGACTTAATGCTGAAATCTGTGACATCTACGCTCACGTTGCTTTTGAAACCCCAAGTCTTAGAGGTGCTAATTTATTTCCAGAGATGGATCATGTATATTGCTCCTCCACAATCATGTGGCATCTATTTTTTTTTTCTATTTTTTTTGAGGGGGGAAAGTTCTACAGCATCAGGACCTTTCCAGTAGTCAGCACTGCATCTACTTTCAAGCCAGGGATTTGTGTGTCTTATGGAGTTATTGAATTTGGCCCATAGGCACGTCTCTCCTAAATTTTTTCTGGCCGTTTTGAAGCATTCTCTGAGAAATGTGAGATGGTGGTTGATGAAAATACAGTCGTCCCATGTCTCGGCAGTGGCCAGCTGGATAACCAACTGCTGAGCCAACTGTTTGGCGCAATCTAGGAGATGGAGGGCTCCACTCGAAGCCAGGTTCCAGCCCGTTCTAGGGATTATATTTGTCATCACAATATTTCCTTGACAGCCCCAACAACTGAAACACTCCTAACAGAAACCCAGTGACTGCAGCTCCTGGAAACAATCGAGTCCAGACCCTCTGCTCTCCCTTCCTGTAAAATCCAAGAGAGAGTTCCAGTTCTGAGATGGATGCCTAGAAACACATTACTCTTAGCCAACAACCCATTTCCCCCCAGCTTGGAATGATGCCAAGTTTGATCTTGAAATGACTATAGGGAGTCTCTGGTAATGAAATCCCTACCTACTCAAAGCCTGCTTCCACTTAGCATGGTACACCATGTCTGTCCTTTCAAAATGATGCTATGTGATTCTGATGAACGCTGTGTCTCCATTGGACAGTGAGGTTAAAGTTCACATGCAGAAACACAGAGGAAAACATTCTCCTGTACTCAAGAGAAAAATGGAAGGAAGCAGAAAGAAAAGCCCCCAGATACACCACTTGTATCTGTGACCTACACCTAAGCCAAGGAGAGTTTTGAAAAGAAAGTGATTTTGTTTTCTTCTCCTTATTACCTGATCCCTCCAGATCCATGGCATGACCAGAAGTGACAGTCTCATGAAACATTTCTGCCACAGTGGCTTATATAAGAAGCTTGTGACAGGAGAAAATAAAGTAGGGAAAAGAGCTTAGTTGACCCCCCCACACACAAATACATGGACAATAGGGTCATCAGACATGACCTCAGAACCTAACACGTCACAGATGAAGCACAGATTAGGAGGGACCAGACATCCTGAGAGTCTGACTACAGAATGCTGAAATGAGGCTTGGTCCTCGGGTCAAGCCTTCCTCGACATCATGAAAACTGAACTCTTAGAAAAACAAACATGAGCCCCCCTTTCACCACTGTATCCCTGCGCCTGTAGTGATTAGCCTCAGCCCACAATGCCAAAGGCTGTTTTCCTACCAAAGTATATCGTTGTAACATACATTGCTACTTTTAGTTTTGCTATTTTTTTTCAAGTCAGTTAGACTTCTTTCTATTATCACTTTAAAAAGCTTAGGATTAAACATTTAATGCTCCATTCCCTATAACCACTGTCCTAGACAAGTCCAACCCCACCTTTGAAATAGCACTCAGAATCACATGGCTCTGTAGACTAGCTATGGGCCTTCATTGACCCCTTGACTCATCTTGACTACAGCAGAAGGCAAAGATGACTACACATAGGCAGTGTGGAGCTGTACAAACAGCCCAAGCTGAACCAGTCCTTCCTATTACCAAAAGCCCAACTTCCCTGGGAAACCTCTCTCAAGTACTTCAAGCACAGACAGCGCCCATGCTGCTTCACCATACCTCGTAGATGGAGGACACAAGTTGGCACTACCCAGCTCCTATGTGATAAAAACCAGAGGGGTTAGGAGGCATGCAAAGCCACTAACTAGTCTTGGTATATTTAGTCTGCAAATGGAGTGGTTTTACAGATATAATTCTGCAAGACATCCAGGAGGGTTCAAAGACCTTCAGACAACCTTGTGGTTGGAAGACTGAAAGCAAAGAGAAGAGATAGTAGATTGTCTAAATTGATGGGTGATTACAGTAGGGTTATGTGGTACTGGGGAAAGATGAATGCAGAGAGGGAGGAGAGGGCAGTGCCATTTATGTGAACATCCTCAGAATCGTTAAAATAAATTAGACAGGTGAACACAGAAGTTCATGCTACTTGCTGGAAGCAATAAGGATCAAATTTTGTGGAGCGTGTACTCCACAAATCTCCAGGTAGCCTGCCTCTTTCTCAACGGGCTATCATGTCCTGTTGTACATCCCGGTAGCCCTTAAAACCTGGTAGTGTGGTCTCAGATAGATCCTTGCAGGAGAGAGGCGGATATGGATTCCATTAGCTTCTTCCAGGGGAGCTGCCCAGTGGCTGGGAGGGCGTAGGTAATACGCTTGCACGAGTTCTTTTTGCCTGTCAACCAGGGTCAAACGGCAGTTTCCAGGTCCTCATGGCCAATGACCTTATAGTTCTGTCGGCTTTCTAAATAAGCAGCCAGATCTGGGTCCCCAGCCTGCTGTGCTCGTTCTTGGGGTGTCTTTCCCTACAGGTAAAAGAAGAAAAACAAGTAGTTGGGGTAAGATAATAACCACACATAACAGACATGGGCTAGCCAATGATGAATCCCTCCATGTTTGATGCTTCAGAGTGTACGAGATGCTTTCAAATCTATTTGCTTCCATAATCAGGATTATGTAAATGTGTGCTGGCAAATAAGGGCAGTGGCAGTGGATACTTCTCAGTAAACAGGAAGTCACAGAGTTTCCCTGAGACTGGGGAGAGAAACTGCATTGCGGGAAGTTTGAAAGCCCAGTGCTTTTCAAAAGGGGAAGGAGGAAAGACTGAGTGAAACAGGGAATCAGAACATCATGCTTCTAGTTCAAGGTTCCCTTTCAATAAGCGCTGGGAAGAAATTAGTGGAAGCCAAGAGCAAGAGCGATAACTCACAGATCGTAGAGAAGGTACCTCCTTTGCTCGTGTCAACACTTGTCTCCCGAAAAGTTCGCTCATTTAGTTTGCACCTAGTACTAAATCACTAGCTTGGGGTTCCTCCAACATTTTTATACAATTATAGTAGACCACCTTGCCTTTACTTTGATAATGAAAAAGCTGGCATCCCCACTTTCCAAACATTCAGAGAAGTGGGGTGAAGTGAACCCAAGTGGTTTGCAGTGAATTCTTTGCTGTCTCTAGGATATTGCTTCTATGCTAAAAGGGCCAGGAACAGTTTCATTCCCAAGTATGTTCAGCTTTAATCTGGCACCGTGTTACATAATGGTAAGATGAAAGGATTCTGAAAACAGGAATGAAGTACAGCTATATTACTATGTGGTAAGATCTATAGGACATAATTTTGAATGGAAAGTTATGATGTTCAGTAGCTTGTCTCATAAGACCCCAACTGTTTTTAAAAATGAGAGCCAAGCAGACATACCTACATGTAAACAGAGATTAAATTTAATCATATTTAGGTCTAAGGGATGGGATTTCAAGTGACTTTTCTTGTGTGCTTTTCTATATTGCTAGTTTTCTGTGTATAATCATAAAACCAGAGTTATTTATATTTTGAAAAAAGAATGTACTTACATAATTCAAAATAGGAAGAAGTCTAAACAGGTAACTGATTATTTAGACAACAAGCTGTAGCTCAAGTGCGTTTGATAGGCCTAGGGAGAAACTAAGGCACCTAGAAAGCAGGGATGCCAAAGTAATTCCATGTCATGTAGCTGGCTTAGAAGTGAATGAAAGGTCCATTCATGAGGCAACTTATGTCACAGGGTTTGCTATCCTTCGAGAAAAGTCTAGGGCCCAGACTGTACAAATGTAGGTTCTCCAAATCTAATGGAGTTTGCAACTGCAATGACCAGGCTTCTAAGTTCTATGTGTATGTGTGGTAGCTATAGTTACTTGTTCAAAACCTGTCCTTACTTAATACCTTAAATTTCTTCTTTGACATAGTTAATGATGGTCCTTTCCTCATAGTCTACTCAAAGTCCTTCAGAACTCCAAGTGCTTATCAGGATGGAAGACTGACTCCTATGATTGGCACTCTCTCTCTCTCTCTCTCTCTCTCTCTCTCTCTCTCTCTCTCTGTGTGTGTGTGTGTGTGTGTGTGTGTGTGTGTGTGTGTGTGTGTGCCCCTGTGTGTGCATGCATGCATGCATGGCTGTCTGTCTTTCTGTCTGTCTGTCTCCATCTTTGGTCAACTCCCCTGAGTTACAAGACCCTCCCCCCCCCCATACTCCATTCATCAACTCTGTCTCTTGGCAGTTCTCTGTGAATTGAATCTGCTGAGGATGGCACCAGATACAGCTCTGCTAGACTCTTCTTGGTTCTCCCCTCCTCCTATGGGTAATTTGTGATCAAAGCATAGGGCAGGGAATTCTGTTAATCTTTGTTGTCAACACATTGTCCTACTGAGACAGTGAGGTACTGTCTCTAAATTAGGAGGGCTGACTGGCTCAGAAAGAATCAGGCTATAAGTCAACAGAGTTAACCAGGAAACAGACATTGTTTCGCCGGCTTTCTGCTCCCAGACCTGTCAATAATAGTGGCTCTCATGCTAACTTCTACAGTTGACACTTAGGGAATAATGTAAGAAAACACATAGAAAGATTTTGAAAGACTAAAGGTAACTGTGGTTGCAAAGATGGTTCATCACTTATGAACACTTGAAACTCTTGCAGAGGCCCCAGGTTCAATTCCCAGCACCCATATGGTAAATCGCAAACATCTGCAACTCCAGTTCCAGGGAATCTGACACCTATCCTGGCCTCAGTAGGCCCTAGAACACATGATGCATATCCATATACTCACAAACATAAACATATACACATGCACTTAAAAATAAATAGATACAGAGTAATGTGGATATATCAGGGTTATGGCCGTTACCATCTCAAATTGAAGTACCCCATCTGGGGAGTCAGCCAGTAGACAATCACTTGGTATTTGGGCATAGAACAATGCAACTCATAGATTTTAAATTACATTAGATTTTGTGCTAAAGATGAACCCTAAAGATGCTTCTAGTAGCCAGGCTAGGACATTCGCTGCACTGCATCCCTGCCCTCTGGGTCTCCTCACTTACCCACCCCTTGTCTTCTGGTGTTTCATTAGAACACCACGAGTCCCCTCTCTTCCTTTAGCACGAGTAGAGGTTTATAAAGTACCACAGGCAAACACACACCCTTCCCTTTGTGCTTCTACATTTAAACTGCAGTTTCTCTAAAGGAGGCACTCTATTTTTTCCTCCTTTTCCCAAAGCTCCAGCCCTCCCGTGAGCACAGAAAGGATGCCTGTGCTGCAGGCTCAAGCAGAGGCCATGCAGTCCCTCGCAGTGGGAGGATGCTTGCACTCACTCATCCTGTTACCTTGGAGTCTGTCTGTCTCAGAGATGCTCCTGCGTCCACCAGAAGCTGGCAAACAGCCCGGTTTCGTTGGCAGGCGGCCTTGTGCAGTGCGGTCTCGCCCCTAAATCAAAGATTAAGAAACCAGGCAAGGGTTGGAGACAGATGAGGTAATTGAGGCAGCAGAAAGGTGAGGGGCTTATCCTGCCTGGTTGCTGACACTGTATGCTCTTTAGCCTCCTCCATTGTGAGGAGCTGAGTCCTAGGCCTGAAGAATACATGCATGCTAGGAAGGTGTCTGGGGTGTCTGAAAATTCTTCAAGTTACTCATTAACAGAACTAGTATCTAACTTTAGACACTTGTCTAAACTGGATGTGGCTTGATGATATTTTTTTTAAATTGCTACTACTGGATTTAGGATACACTCATGGATACTGAGTAAAATTGTACTGATATGTCCAAACAGTTGAGGCAGAGCATGAATGCATTTCCGTGGAGCTCACACAGTCCTGTCCCTCCAACATGGTAGAAGCCATTCTGGCCTTCATGAGTCTATCCTGAGGATTCAACTTTGAAGAACCATGCTGTCTTCTTTCCTGCTCTTCAACAAATACTGTGTCACATCTATAAGCTGAAAGGACAGCGGAGAGGTTCTTGTAGACTCCAGCAGAACTCACAGGCCCCAATTCTCCCAAGTAGACAACACACCAGAGACCGGCCTCTCTGTGGCGGGAGGGGCAAGGAAAAGCAGACCTGCCCCCATCTGTCTATTAGTTAGGTGGGCTTAGTGAAGAGAATGTGGCCATTCTGAGTCCCAAGGCATAAAGATGCTTAATGCTAACATGTTTCATGGCGAATCAAATGCCAGCCACAAAGAAGCCAAACCACGATGAATGGAGACCCCACTTACAACCACACCAGCCATCTCTGTGGATTAGTAGCTGGTTTTGTGTCCAGCAGCTCATAGCTGTATCACTTCCATTTCCCTCTATTCTATCCATCCATTCCCATATCTACTCCCTGACCACCAGTTCACTCCTCTCTAAACCCCCTCATCTTTATCCTTTGTTTGACTTCTTTAAAACTCCCTACTGGTCCCCATATGGCTTTCAGAGTTAATTATTCATCTTTTCTTATTCCTGTTAGTGGAAAAGTAGTTATTTGGATGCCAGAAGAATAAAAAAAAAACAACCAAAACAAACATTTTCAGTTTGGGGACCATCCAAGAACTTGTAACTGCTTGAGTAACTATGTTTCCAGTTTTCCAGGGGTAGTATATGACTTGTTCCATCAGGGACCGACTAACAGAATTTGTGTCATTACATGCAGCAGATGTCGTAAGGCATGGGTGCTTCATTTTCTCACAAACTCCAGATGAGAAAACATGCTGCGTGTGGTAGCAATAATGATACATGTACTTATTTATTGTCAGCAGTCCAAGTGCCACTGGAAAAGTCTCTTGCTGGTTGGGTGATATAGGTAATGACAGTGATCACATGGACTGTGTATATAATCATCACAATACAAATTGTTTTTTATTGTATTGTTTTATGCATCAGATTACTACCTCTGCACAACTGCTAATATAGCTTAAAGTGGGCTTTTAATCAGTGAAATTAAAACTGATATGCCTCATGGACTAGACGTGCTTTGAATACAACTGTTCAGACTACATAATGAAAGGCAACACTCACGTTTCACTGTCTGCCATATCCAATAATTCTGCAGGTCCTAAACAACAAAAAAGCAAGCTATTAAAATAGATTGTAAAACTAATTGTTGACAGAAAATCTATAGGCCAATAATTTAAATGATGAAGAAAGGCTAACTGAAAAGATAAAGTTGGTGACAAGGTAAATAATAAGACCAAGTGAAGGTAAGAGGATTCTCTGTCGCCAGTTTCCCAAACTCATCAGTCCATATGCACAGAGATGGCTCAGTGAATGAGCACATCTGCTGTGAAAACAAGAGAACCTGAGTTCAAAATTCCAGTACCCAAATTTTTATAAACCTGGGCATGGCCTTGTGTACCTGTAACCTCAGCACAGGTTGGCAGAGAAAAGTAGATCCCAGGACCTTGATGGCCAGCCAGCCTAACCAAGTTCAGTAAGAGACCCAGTCTCAAGGAAGCAATACAGAGAGCTGTAGAGAAAGACAGCTGATATCTTCCTCTGATGTCCAAATAAGTGACTGTACCCACATGCAGGTGTAGGTCAACCATCAACTATGCCCATCACACACACACACACACACACACACACACACACACACACACACACTGAATCAAGATTATTTCTCAATGAAGTTGAGGATAATAACTGAAAAACAATTGTCTCAGTAGAAAGAAAGGGACAGTTAAATGGGTTTTGGGTCTTTTTCATTCTCCAGCTTCTGGAAGGGGCCTTCTGTGGCATTATGAGAAAAGTGAAGACACACAAAAGTCACCTACATTTTGGCTATAGGATAAAAGTCTACTTCCTTGAAATATTACATTTTCAAAATTGAATTACTGCCATGCATACATGTCAGATGATTGTAGATGACCCATTGCATGATATTTTTCCAGGGTGGGGTGATAGAATACAAATGAACAAGGAGCTGACCTTTCTCTTTCTCAGTGTCTGTTTACTAATTAATTCACTTCTTTTATAAATATTGTTTGGGATCTTCACCATTCTACCTCCTGACAACTACTTCCTTCCATGAAATCCCTCACCCTGTTACTCTGAAGGTAACAGCTAGACTTATTTCTTCCACACAGCTCCCTCTGAGATGACATGACCCCCTACCTATATGACACCTACCCTTTTTGTGTAGGCCCTATTTGTCATACTCAAGTACTACAAATTATCATCCAAATCGAGATTATCCTAGCTAAGTGGAGATTGTTGATCACATTATCCAACATGACACTTGTCAATCTATTTTAAAATCACCAGCTTAGTTGTTTTTGTTTTTGTTTTTCTGTTTCTTTTCTTTTTTGTCCCTTGAGATACTAATAAACCTCTGAGAGTTTTGCCCTGTGCTTTTTCACCACTATGACTTCCCTTAGTACTGGGCAGAGAATCTGGTACCAAGCAAATGCTTAAATATTTGACTGACTTGACGCCCTGCTTCGGGGTGCCAAACATGGCTCTGCTACTAAGCAGTTTAGTATTCAGAGACACAATCCTTGTGATTTGTGACCTCTATTGGTGGAGAGCATTATCCCTGAAAATTATTCATTATGTATAACGTGAAAGGAAATGAAGAAGAGGCTACAAGTTTCTAACCATGATTGCCATTGGCCAGGAAATAGTTGAGATATTTTAGAATCCTTGTGACTCTCGTGGTCATCCAAGATCTAAGTCACCTTGAATCTTTGTGTAGAATGCACCTAGCATGCAGAAGCCATTGCCAAAGAGACTGCTATATGTCACTAAGTTTCCACACATCCCATCTGGTCCTGACTCTCAAGTGTTTAGATGACACTCATGGCCCTCCTCCTCGAACTCCTGATCCTTAACGTGTTGATAAGGTTCAACCTTTTCACCTAAGCTGAACTAGTGATGCCCTACCTCACTATGTATTTCTCGGGATTTCTCCCACTCTGAGAGCCTGTCTCCCAATCTCCCTATCCATGATAGCTTTCCCTCTCCTGACCCTGTACTTAAAACTGAAATCTTCCTTAAAGCCCAACTGTGGCAAGGCCCTCCAAAGAGACATCTGACAAAAGAAACCTAACCCCTTCTCTGAATCTGATGGTTGCTTTTCAACTATATGTTTTTCTTCCTTAAATGGATTGTTCCAAAATCTCTGAAGTGTAAGAATCATTTTATTCTTTCTACCTGACTCTAAATTGTATAAATTTTATATCAATAATTCTATGAATCAATTAATGATAACATTTACCTCCCACCTTGAGTTTCCATAAGTTAATATGATCTAAAGTATTTAACAACAGTGCCTGAAACCATAAGGACTTCATAAAATGTAGAGTATAGTGCTTTTGGGCACACTAGAGCTGACCATATTAAGTCAAAACACTGCAACATCAGTGAAAGAAGGTGACATATAATGGCCCACTAACTCCCACTTGATTTTTAAGTCACATGTTGACTCAAATTCTAGAGATCCATGCACTCAGGGTTACTCATTGTCTGATAGGAGAGCCTTAACAAGATCAGGAGCAAGAGGATCATGGCACCTGATCTTCCACCGAGGGAGACCCTGCTATCTTCCGAGAGCCTTGTAAGCTGTTTATTAGAGAGAAATTCCAGGAACACAGCAGCACACCTGCACCTGGCAGCTGTATTCCCATCATTACACAGTGAGTTCCCAGGTTTGCTGGGTCAAAGGCTCTATGCGATAAGGAACCCTGAAGCATGTTGATTGGGCTAAGACAGTAATAGTTTGACAATGTAAAGATGAAGACAAGGAAAAGAAGCACTTGGTTCTCCATCGTGCTGACCCACAGCATCACAACTATAGCTCTGAGTTATCCCACAATGATAATCCAGTCTGATTTGGGCATGCCTTTGACTACCTGGGGTTATTCAGGGGTTCCTTTAATCTTCTGTAGCTGGCAGAGGTAAGAGGACCAGCCACCAGTGCTGGAACCTGGCACTTGAGTTCTTAAAGCCTATCTAAAGGGACTCCATTTCAGTATTAGTGCATGACTCTAAAATGATTGATGTAATTAACCTAATGTCCCTGATCCTCCATCAAACAGACAGTTGGATGATTAAAGAACATTTCAAACACTGGCAAGCAAACAGCCAATGAAGGAGAGGGAAGGGCAGCAGACAGATCACTCCAGGTGGGAGTAGGGAGCTGTGTTTAAGCATGCAGACCTTGGGCTTGGGACCCTTTACTCCTACTGGGTTGCCTTGCCCAGCCTTGATCTGAGGGTTTGGGCCTAGACTTACTATAATTTGTTATGCCATATCCGGTTAGTATCTCTGGGAGGCCTACTTTTATTAAAAGGGAAATGAAGGAGGAATAAGTCTGGGGGGAGGGGAGGTATGGGGGTAGAAGGAGTGGAGGGAGGGGAAACTGCAGATAGGATGTAATGAATGAAAGAAGAATAAAAAAGTGCCAGTACACATTTACTTGTCATTGTTAGAACTGATCCTTAAAGCAACGGTTCTCAACCTGTGGGTCATGACCCCTTTGGGGGAATCACACATAAGACAACCTACCTATCAGATATTTACATACGATTCATAGCAATAACAAAACACAGTTATGAAGTAGCAATGAAATAATGCTTTGGTTGATGGTCACCATGACATGAGGAACTGTATTAAAGGGTAGCAGCATTAGGAAGGTTGGGAACCACTGCCTTAAAGGATTATGTTTGCATGGCAAAGACACCAGAAGAGTCAATGCCAAATACACCTGAGTTCAGAACATCATTCCTTCCTGGTTAGTACTGCACTGACCTTTGGAGAGCTATGCTTTAACACTGTGCTGACCTATGTAGTAACCTTGACTTACAACTTGCAGAATGGGTAACCAGAAAGATAAAAAAGATCAACAAAACCCACATCAACTTCTTTTGAAAAATAAAATGAGTTTTTAAAAAATGGCACCTGTTATTTTTTTGTTAATATGAGTCTCACTAATAAAAGAAAAGAGAAAGATGATAAAAAAGTAAACAGAACTGTATTTTTCTAATGGGTCAGTGGTTGAAAGCTGGACTTGGAATTGTTTTATATATGTGAATATCCACATTATGGATGCTATCCCGTTTTCCCCATGGAATTTGAAATAAGAGCATTGAAGTGTCAGTAGACAATTCACAATTCTTTTCGCTAAACAGAAGGAATCTATGGTGGTGTGAATGAGAATGTCCCCCTTAGTCTCAGGCATTTGAGCACCTGCTCCCCAGGTGGCAGTGGTGTTAGGGGAGGTTTGAATGTTACAAGTTTGCTGGAGGCAGTCAGTGAGGGCAGACCTCAAGATTTAAAAAGCCTTTGCAACTTCCAGTTTGCCCTCTCTGCTTCATGCCTGCAGTTGAAGATACAATCTCTCAGCTGCTTGTACCAGCCTGTATGCCTGACGCATGTTACTTCATTTTACCTCTCTGATGGACTCCAATCTAGAATTGTAAGCCCCCAAATTCTTTATCCTGTCAAGGTTTTTATCAATGCAAGATAAAGTACTTAACACAGAATCATTGCATCTCTAGGGTATACTCTCTCTTACAGTTATTCTATACCAAAAGATACGTGTGAAGTTGTTTTGAAGGTCTAGAGTGCCAATTTCTCTATGAAATCTTCACATTTCTTCCAGAATCCTATGCATACTGCCACTGGAACTCAGCAGAGGACATTAGAGTGCAGGTGCCATGTCTTGTGGCTTCTTATCCATGCCTGAGCTCATAGCCCTTTGAATACAGAGGGCGGAAACTATATCACACACATGCATGACCTTGGCCACCTCGTAGTGCCTCAGTTTTAACTCCCTGTGCAATGGAGATAGGAAAATTTACTGTGTAGACTTGTAAGAATTTACATTTAGCATCTAGAACAAAATGTTTTGGTAACAATGGATTACTGTGTTCTTTTTTTTTCAAATATCAGTTTTTTAAAAAAATCAAATGGTGAGTGGTGCTTTAAAACAATTTTGGATCCCATAAATATTAGGTGTTTTCCTTTTTTCTTCAGAGAAATACCCATAGCTGAACCATGGATTCAAAAAGCTGTTGGACATAGGGAAACGTCTGAAAATCGAGGAATGGTGCCCAGTTTCATTTCATGTCTCTGTGGCAAAATACACAAGAGAAGCAATGTAAGAGAGGACAGATGTTATGAGCTCACATTTCAGAGAGAACAGATCATCATGTTTGGGAAGGCACGGTGTCGGGAGTAGCATGCTCCACGGTGATGGAGGCATGTGGGAGCACAAGGCTGGCCTTTTACCGTCAAGCGTCACCTCTTCTGCCTCCTAAGGCTCAGAACTGCTCAAAACACCACCAACAACTACAGACCACATATTCATATATGTGAAAATGCATGAGCCTGTGAAGAACACTGTATATTCAAGCCAAAACAGGTACATATACATGTACTTGTTATATATGTATGTGCCCATGCGTGTGCACACATGCTCTCTCTCTCTCCATCTCTCTCTCTCTCTCTCTCTCTCTCTCTCTCACACACACACACACACACACATATATAATATATATGTATATATATAATTCAGACTAAGTCTGGGGAATGCAGAACGTAGCAAAATGTCTTTCAGAGTGAGACAGGGAATGTTGTGGAAAGTACTGGAAATTTCTGAAGCCCTGCTGCCCTGCAGCTCTTACATTGGCCACTCCAGTTCCTGTTCAGATGATGCTATCATCTGCATTGCATACGCATTATAGATGATGGGTCTTTTATAGCATGTATTCTTTAATTTGCCTCCTACCAATGCATCCAAATCCCCTCTGCTATTCCTTCATTGCCCCATGGTCCCTCCCAGGATCTCATTTCCCATTAGTCTCCCTGACGCTGCCAGCAGACCATTCCAAATCCTCCCCTGCCGCAGGACAAAGGCTGCACAGATGTGGAAGAGCTGGCACCGGGAAATGCTAACAGCACTGTCATCCTGTCTCAGCGGGATGGTCGTCCTTTCTCTCTGGGACCAGAGGCAGGAAAAAGAAGTGTGGGGGTTAAAAACATCAGAAAAGAAAGACGGGACAGAAGACAAAATAACCCATTGAAATAAAAAGGAAATGCATGAGCGGGGTTTCTATCTGAGGAAGCAGTAGGGGGCAGCGGGGTGGGCACGGGGAGAATAAAAACAAAAGAGCAAAATGCTCTGGGTAGTGAAGGAAGAAAACCACACAAAAGTCTTGGAAGGGGGGAACTCGGGGGAGGCAGCCAGTAAAAATGATGGTTGAAAGGAGCTGAAAAGCATGAACCACTGAGAGTCCCTGCTGGAATCCTTGTGTCCACAGCTCAGCCCTGTCTCTGGAACTGCTTCCTCTCTTCCTCCTCCCATTGCTTTTCAGGACTCCAAGTGCCCAGATTCCAGCTTTTTTTTCTTCTTCTTCTTCTCCAATAAAAGAAAGCAGTGTTTTGCACAACTGAGAGAAGTCCAAAGGAAGACGCCTCCTATGGCTTTCTCAGAACGCACCACACATCCCACTCATAGCCCACAGCCCACGGCCATCTAAAAAGAGCCCTCTGGAGGAAACGGTATTGCTGGGGCTTGAGATTAACTCATCTCTTGGGAATCTGGATCAGAAGGTGTCCTTCTGATTGTGGGTCACTCTCCTCTCCCTAAGCATCCTATGAAGGGACAGAGCAGAGTGAAGCTCAGAGCAAGAAGGATGCTGTGAGCTGAGAGCCAACTCAAGGGACCATGCAGAATATGACTTGGGTACCTTGAAAAGGCAGTTCCTAGTTACCATTGTCAGTAAGGGTTGAGTATGTTTGGAAGACAGGGCAAGCACTACAGAGATTCCTCCATCTCATAGTCTTGCTGAGGCCATTTTGGGTTTAACTAGAACTTGATCTTCTTGATGGAGAATCCTGTGGTCAATTACCCACCTCTATTCTAGGACCTGAGACCAAGATACCCCAGCTAACTTAGCCTCTATTAAACTGTTTGCTTGTGCAAACCTCTTGCTGCAGCTGCTGAATGAGATGCTAAGATGTGGCTTTTGCCTTTAAAAGCCCCATTGGTCCAAATGCTTGGGGCAACACTTAGGTCCCAAATACCCAGGTGTAGTCCCAGCTAGCTGTGATAAAGACTTTCAGTTGACTCTAAATTATGTCTGAGTAGTCATCCCTGGTGGCATCCCCATAACAAGGTCTTTGAAAAACCTGTGGGATTTCTATTATCTGAAGCTATTAGAGAGATGTGATCCAAGCTGATATGTGCATATACACATATACATGAATGTCAAGAGATTTTCAGCATACATAAACATCCCTGTTATTCTCCAATAATTACCAAGTCAGAAGAGATGATATTAGTCTACAAAGAGCTCATAAAATATCAAGGATCAAGTATGCCAAGGGTAATACTTTCCATTTATCTCTTCCTAGCCTGAATAACACTGTGTACTTCAGGGCTTCCTATCATTTCAGAGAGGTGAATGGTTCTACAAAGACAGTTTATGATTTCAAAATGCACAGTTTAGCTGGGAGTGACAGAGAACACATCTCATCCCCGTACTTGAAAGACAGAAGAAGGAGGATTGCTACCAATTTGAGGCCAGCCTGCCCAGCGAATTCCAGGCTAGCCAGGTCTATGAAGAAAGATTCTGTCTTGAATAAGATGGCCACCTTCTGAACGTTGTGCAAATCCTGAGCACTTTTCTTAAAAGAAAATGTCTATAGATGAGCGTGGTTTAATTCGTGTCCATGTGCAATATTCCAAAATTTCCTTCTGCTCTTCATCAGCGTCTTGGAGAAATTACCAGGGGAAACAGAATAAACCTATGGTGTATATGTGCAGCAGAAATCATGCCACTATTTGATTTGCAACTCTTCCCCTGAAGTGTAGCAGGTGGATGGTCAGGAGAGAAGATGCAAATGATGCCTACAACAGACTCAGCACCACAGTTCATCTTTCTAGGACAGGCGGGATGGAACTACCTAGTCTACGGTAGAAGCTATTCTCCAGGGCCCAACGTTTCACCTTCACAGTCCTTCCTTCCATCCTCTGCACCATAGTTCTGGCCAAGAGTTGAAGCAAACTCTTCATAGTGAGAAAGACAAAGGAGGGAGAGTCTCAAATGACTGGCAGTCTAATATCTACCTTACAAGGTCCTTGCAAAGATTAAATTACATGGTGCATTCTGTACAGGCATCTGGCATATCATATGAGCTTGAAAAATGGTAGCCGTGTTTTCCTGTGCATGGCTTTATAGTCAGACCTAATACATGAAGCATTCAACTGCGTTGAATTTATTTGCACACTAATTGTGTTTTCTTTCCCAGCCTGCTATTGCTTGAAAAGGCTTAATGCATTCTTTGAGTGCATATTTGAGTGTGTTAGCCTATATAGCAGGCAATTCCTGTTAGGCACTCCATGTGGATTTATCGAAAGGATGAAGGAAGGAGGGAAGGAATGAGTGGAAAAATGCAAAGGTCCCCAGTTTCATGAAAGGAGAAGCAAAGGGATGTGAGGACTCATTAATCTACTCACTAAATGCCTGTGCAGAGGAAGTAGGCTTGGGGGCTGGAGAGATGGCTTGGTGGCTGTGCAAGGTAAGCAGGCAGCATCAATGCTCCAAGAAAGTTGCCTAGGCTTTCTGTGGACCTGGGTCTCACAGACAGACACTTTCACTTATTCAACCTTAAACACCCCCAAGAGAGGCACTTTTTCCTTTCACCCACCCCTCCGGCTCTTCTCTATCTCTAGTCACATTGTAAACATGACAAGCAGAGTGGTTTGTGTTCCTTATGTGTAATTCTGTTTCCATTGGGCTCACAGAGGTTAAACCGTCAGCTCTCAATCTTGGGAATGATCTAAGACCAAGCTGGAAGTCCCTGGTTAGTACACAGTCTGGGGGGGAGGGGTCAGCCAGCCACCAGATAGGACCAGTTAGGATGCACTCCAGGAGGGGAGGATGGGCAGTCACACAGGACAAGGCAGTACTGTGAATTTTTCCTGAGAACGAAACGTGAGTTGGAAGAAAACACAAATGAGAGGCAAACAAAAATAATAAGAAACTAGAAAAATGGTGCAGAGCAAACGCAGGAATCTGCAGAAGAATTACCCAAAAATATAGATTACCCAGCTGAGCCCAAACAGTTAATTTATAAAGAGCTCTACAAAATAAATACAACTATGCCTGGCTGTATTTGGTTAATAAAAAAATTTTAGTTAATTGAATAAATTAAAGTTAGGGGCTAGAGAGATAGCTCAGTGGTGAGTGCTGAGATTGAAGGCATTCACCACAGCACCCAGCAATGAACCAATTTTAGAGCCTTTTAATTTTTAAATTAATTACTTCCCCAAAGTTTTCCCTTCCTGAATCTGGATATAAAACTTGTTTGTTTTAATTGCTTGGATAAGATGGCCCACCTGCATCAGTGAGTGTCAGAGAAACAATTGGTGAGTATCCCATTGTGAAGATCTCCTAGTTGAGTGTCAATATAGACAACACTATCTAGAATTTCTTGGATAAGCAGTCCCTGGTAGGTTGTCTACTCACCATGGTCAAGGATGTACTTCACAATCTCCCCATTGCCAGTTTTAGCTGCATAGTGAAGGAGTGAACAGTGGTCTGGTCCCTGAATTAACAAGCTGCCTCCGTTCTTATAGCTTTCTATGAGCTGGAAGAAACACAAGGGAATGAATGTCAGCAGTGCCCAGAATGGGGATAAAAGCTCCAAGGCCACACAGAAAAGTCATTTAGTAAACCACAAATGTTTTTAGCCTCAGAGGACACAGAGAAAAGTCGGAGTGATGAAGTACCACCCCTTCATCACTCGCATAGACGGTCGATGTCTCATGTAGCTCCGGAAAGAGTCTGTGGGTATCAAATGGCTCAAGCGAACAGGAATGTACTGAATTGGCTTTCTTCCCCCTCTTCTGAGCCCCAGACTCTGGGGAGAAGTCTAAAATCTCCTGAGGTCCATCCAGCATTTGTTGCAGCAGGAAGAACCTGGCTCTGGCCCTTTAGGCTCCTTCCCTCTATCTTTAGTTGTTTTTTGACATGTCATGAACACAGTTACCAAATGTTTCATTTTCCTGCACACAGCACTCATACATACATGTGCACACACATGTGCATGCAGGCACACACTCAGAGGGAGGGTTCATTTTTCATCCTGATAGCTTCTGTGAATCAGACAGTGCACACCCAACATGGCAAGAGATGATCATGCAATACAGAGAACCAAAATGATGGTGTGATTGTCATTGTGTCCATATGACAACAGCCGGTGGTAAGAATGAGGCCACCAGAGAGTGAGGTGGGTAAATGAAGATGTAGACCTAACTCATGAAGAATCGAATTCTATACAAAGTATGAATGTGTCACTGTTTTCCAAACTGTGGAAAATCAGGACACTAGGAACCTTGGTGAAGCTTCTCATAGATTATGTGAAGATAAAGATGAATCTACCAAGTAAGCAAGTATCAAGAAACACTTACAAGTAAGCAATAATAATATGACTCAGTTGCCAGTCTCAATGGCCTCCAAATTCTATACGAAGAACAGCAGGGTTGATTGTGGACACAGACAGTATGAGGCCGGCAGAGGGACACCCGGGAAAGAAGCAGAGTTTTGGAAAGGAGCTGGGGAAAAGTATCTAGAAATTTGACCAAGAAGGTGCTGGAAGGATGGAAGCTATGGGAAACTGTATCTCCAAACTTTAGAGCAAGAGAACAGGAAGAAGCAACATGGAGAGCCAAAGGAGAATCTTGCTGTGTTCTGCCACAATTTCCTGTGATGGATGATACTGGGTCTTTGTGGCCAGATCCAATGAAGATGGCAGTACAGACAGATCCAGACCAAGTAGGGATCAGCTGTCGTGAACTTGCCTTTTGGGAAGGTTGCACATTGACTAACAGTCAGCCCATTAGCGATTTAATTTATTCGTTACATATTCCCAGTGCATGGGAACTCCTAGAGTCTACTCTCCCATCCCCCCTCTGTGTGTGTGTGTGTGTGTGTGTGTGTATCTCTGTCTGTCTCCTATGGAGCTTTTTAATATTTAATATGTATAATGCATTCTACATGCAAGATGGAAGCAAAAGAAAATTGAGAAGGTGAGAGATTAACTATATACACAAAAAGAAAGACTGAAAAAGAAAGTTCATCATTCTCTGTATCTCATTATTAAAATGAGGTATTATTGAGTCATTCCTCGGATGTTTTGAGGATAATTATAATGTAGGGTGTGCCAGAACAACCAGGAAGATACAGTGATTTCTTGTACTTTAAGCAATTGTCTGTGAAATATGTTTAAATGTGTAGCAATAAGCCAGGATATGGGGAGTTGTTTGCCTATAATAAAAGCGTAAGGAAAGAGCTACAGATTGCAAACTGGACCAGAGGTGTTCAAGGACAGGGGTTGTTCTTGCTTCCCACAGAATCCAAGTTAGGTAAGTCCTTGTAGGATTGTATACTGGTGCTGGCTAGCCCACTGAAGGGAAATGACCATGAACACCCAGGAATCCTGTTTAAGCATGAGGCTTCCCTTCAGGATAAACGCCCCCACTTGGACAGTACAATGGAAAACAGTACAGGCAGTGCAGTCAGAATCATATGAGTGAGTCTACAACTGACCTATATGCAGACAACTCTGTCTCTCATGTTGCTTTCTGTTAGTGATGAGGTGAAAATGTAGAACAGGTATTCTTTGGTTTATTCAATAGGGATGCTTAAAAAGGAATGGAAAGGAATGGGAAGGGAAGGGGAGGGAAGGAAAGGGAAGGGAAGGGAAGGGGAGGGAAGGGAAGGGAAAGGGAAGGGGAAACAGAAAGGGTAAGATTCTAGGCAGAGAAAAGAGAAGAGGAAAAAGTAAGTAATTCTCAGCCTCCTTTTACAGCTTTTGGTATCTCAATCTGTACTGAACTTGGGCTGATGGGAAAGGTGTGTATATCCTCCACTGTGGTGGTTTGAAAGAAAATAGCCCCCAAAGGGAGTGGCACTGTTAGGAGGTGTGGCCTTGTAGGAGGAAGTGTGTCACGGTGGGGGCGGTCTTTGAGATCACTTTTGCTCAGACCTCCCTCGACGTGTCAGTCATTTGACTTCCTGTTGCCTGCAAGATGTAGCACTCTCAGCTCCAGCACCGTGTCTGCCTGCACGCCGCCATGTTCTCCACCATGAAGATAATGGACTGAACCTCTGAACTGTAAGCCAGCCCCAATTAAATGTTTCAGTTTATAAGAGTTACCATGGTCATGGTGTCTCTTCACATCAATAAAAACACTAAGACGGCCCCTCAGAAACAACCAGTGCCATTACACAACACACCAACACCACTGGAATTACACAGGGACTCATAGATAGTCATGAGCCCCCAACATAAATAACCCAATATTTAGAATAATTAGAGTACTTTTAGAGTACTCACAGAATACATAAGGCCAATATTTTAATAACTACATTGTCAGAAAAAACCATATTAATACTATATAGCAAGACTAACTCAGCAATTCAGGCACATTTCTATGCAACAGGAACAGTATTGGCAGCCTTATCGTATGATTGCATCTAGTCTTATGACAAACCAAGAAAGAAATACCAGTAACCCTGCTTCACAGATAAAGAATTCAAGGCCCTGAGAAAATGCACTAAAGGCACAAAAGCATGCACAGAGTGAATGACAGGGGCAAGATCTGAAACAAGGCACTCTAGCCTCAGAACTGACATTTGCTTTCAAGGAGGTGGTGACTATTTATTTCCTTGTGAATGAAATTCAACAGAAAACACAAGCACAAATTGAAATACTCAAAATGGACTAGCCTGCCCTTTTCAGTTTGCTGTGACTTCTAAAGTAGACCACTATATCAGCAGGTGCAAACTCCAAGCTGGTACATGTATTTCTGGTTATTACCCAGGTCATTCTTATATATGTATTCATTCACAAACACATCTAGAAAAGAAGCCTTCAAATTCTTCAAATGTTAGTTGTAAAGAACAGGGATTCTAGGCAATATGAGCATTGTATCATAGGAATACATCCCCCACCCTTTTTTTTCTTGAACTAACAAAGGCAAGATTAGGGAATTCTACCACTCTCCTTTGCTGTTAGGAGATGCAGTACGGTGAGGGCTCTCCTCATTCTCTCTGTTCATTTCTCAAAAGAACATCTTTCCTTTCTCTACTCATCCAGCACTGATAGGGGAAGTAGTTCATGGACCGGGTCATGAAAATCTGGAGAGGTAATCGCCAACACTTTGGTAGGAAGATAGCTTACCTTCATAAGATCACCAGTTATTACTGCCTGCAAAATTGCTGTGAAAGACAAAAGAGAGATGTCTCATTAGTAGAAGACCCTCTCAATGGGAATTTACAAATGAATGCCTCCATATTTAGAAGTAATATTGGGCACAGAAATCAGGGATTCCTCATAAAGCAGGTGAAATTGCCTTCTTCAAGGCCTTTCCTTCCCTAGAGCCAATGATTCTAGCACTTTCTTGAGCTCCTTCCCCCATCTCATCCTGGTACTACAAAGATAATGTGAAATCTGGAGTCACTATAGCTCTGACTTTAATGGACAGACCATTTAATCCCATGAACCTCAGTTTCCACAACTGCAAAAGAGGAAGTCTAGACCTTGTGGGCTAGCTGGAAGGGTTAATCGCTGTGGTTCCTCTCTCTGTCTTTCTACTTTGTTCTCTGGATATTCAGTATCTCTCCAGTAATTTCAGTTGGGAGTACTGAAGTGGTGACTACTCATTGCCATGGACAGTAAGAGGGTTGGAGACACAGAAGAGGAAGTCAGTGTTTCAGCTGTGTTCTGGGGAGAATAATCATGTTTGGTCATGATGGAAATAAGCCTAAAGGTCTTCATTAACTTATTTGTGAGATACATGTAGCTTTAGAAAGAAAAAAAAATAAAATTTATAATTGTCTATGCAAGTAGGATATAGAAAATAAACAAGAAAATCATGTTAATAAAAAGGAAAAAGTATGTGTACATCTAAAGACAATCATGGTTCCTGAAGTGAGCTACTTGTTGTAGATAGGATGCGTTTAGAAAATGAGATGTATCAAGTTGGAAACTATCCAAACAATGGGCTCAGCCTTTCAAGTCACAGAGCTTTAGGAGAAAAACTAAGTTTATATTACAAAGTGCCATTTTGTTCTTATTTAATTAATGGCTCAATTTGATCAAATTAAAGTCTAATAGTGTGTATCAAGAAACAAGGAGTACAGTGCTGGCTCCATAGCTCATTCATGAAAGTGCTTGCTGTTCAAGCACGAGAACCCGAGTTTGACTCCAAAACCCACATAAAAAAGCTAGACACAGTGGCATAAACATGTGATTCCAGTACAATAGAGGGGAGATGAGCAAGTTACTGGGTAAGCCCAGTCAACCCTGCAAGCCCAGGTTCCAGTGAAATATCCTGCCTCAAAAACTAGTGGATGGGTTCCTGAAGAACCAAACCTGAGGTTGACATCTAAATGTGCACACACACACACACACACACACACACACACACACACACACACACACACACGAGAGAGAGAAAGAGAGAGAGAGAGAGGGAGAGAGAGAGCGCTACCACTTGGCTCTCTATTGCACATTTAAGATTCCTCAGTAAACAAAGGCATTCAGTGCTAAAGACTGAGTACCTTATCTTAGAAAACAAAAGCTTTGAAAAACCTACAGAAAAGGCAGAAAAAAGGGTGGCTGCTTTAACATGGAATGAATAGGGGAAAATGTGTAGGACTAGAGAGGGAGAGGGCTAAGTTCCCTTCTGTAACAAGCTATAGAAGCAATGCACACTTAGCTTTGAACCATCCTGTGAACCCAAATCCCTTCACACAACACAGAGGCTCACCAGTTAGTCTTTCACCCGAATGAAAAGAAAGCGATGGGAAAACTCAGTGGGCCACCAAGCAATGTAAAAGGACAAGGCTGTGGAAATGGATTCATAGGCAGGAAGAGGGACTGGAGGGTGGGAGGAGTAGGCAGAGGTGAGTGAAATAGGAATGCATTGTAACATGCATGACATAAAAATAGAAAATTATTTTATAAAAACAGAAGCAAGAAGTAGAGAAACTGATAGAGCAGAAAAGGAATCTGCATCTCTAAAGAACCTATGAAAATATTGTTTTATAATATTTGTTTTATAAAATAAGGATCTTGGCACTGGGAGAGAAGTGGCACTTGGCACAGAGACTATAATGGCCTGCCAGAACCATAACGCATGCTCCTACATCTAGGCCTCTGTCACTGCTACACTGAACTCACTGTTAGTAGAGCTCTACTGGGCACCACGACACCCACAGGAGGTGGGAGAAAACACTGTTGATAAGTTTGTACTGTGGAAACAGTCGTGAATTAAAGAATAATTCTGTGTGATTTGCTGAACATGAACATTTTAAGGCATTTCTTTCTCTCCTTGGCAAAGAAGGTCAACAGTTGTAATGTTAACCTCTGCTGTGAGGGTTAAGTTTTTACAAAGGCTTTATAAATAAATAGAGGGGGTTGTTTTCATCACTTCTGCGACTTCACACACACACACACACACACACACACAGAGCATTCAAAAGAAAATTTCTGTTAAGGTAAACTTGGCCTTAAAGTGCACATGTGAATCTCTATTAATACAACATATTTCAGATGGGAAGGACAGATCAAGGAGCCCTGAGGTGGTGGTTTCCTTCAGGACAGAAACCCTATAACAGATCACAGGGAAGGGGACGTTGAGAAAAAATATTAGCAATCAGCTTGGGGGAACAAATAAGTTTGGATTTTCATACTGAAGAATGTTCCCTTGGAGGCCTTACCCTCCCATGGAGCAGATGGGAGTAGGGGGAGTGGAAAAAGTAGGAGGAGAGGAGGGAGGAGAAATTGGGATTGGAATATAAAAAAATAAATTAATAAGAAAAATGCCAAACAATCAAAAAAAAAAAAAAAAAGGAATGCTCCCAGTGGACTGTCCTGATTGCAAGAGACATAAAGCAAGCAAAACTACAAGAATGAACCCTTTATGAACCCACACTCAGAGGATCAAACAGCAGCATGGCTTATGGTTTCAAGATCCTATAGAACTTTTCTCAGAAGGTAAGTGATCATTAAAAGGAGAAAGCTGTGAGAAGGTGATGTCAGTATTTTTAAACATTTATGTAAAACCAAACTTGGCACATGGACACAATAAATCAAGACAACAGAGGAAATCCCCAGGGCAAAGTCCGTGTAAAGATGTGATCTGATCAATCAACAGGAAAGGGTGGGTATGACCTGCCGCTAGCAGTACAGTCAGCAAGATTTTGTGGAAGATGGGAAATTTAAACCCACTATGCTTGATAAGTAGAATTGACAGGCAAAGAAGATTTGGAAAGTCCTTAGAAGATGAGGGAAGAATCTGAACAGAAGCATGGAACTTGAGGGAAGCTGCAAAGAGTTCTGCATGGAGGGCAGCCCCACATCAGATGTGCTGTAGCTTCACAGGCCGAAGAAGTGAGTGAATGTCTGTATGCCAAGATTAGGTACTTGCACTGGACCTTTTTAGATACTTCTTACCCTCTTGCAGGTGGTAAGAAGCAATGGAAGAGTTAAAACCAAATCACAGGAACATCCAAATGTCCTCCAGTGGCCAACCTGCTTCTTCCTTCTGAGAACAGAGTCATGACTAGGTCTTAGGTCCTTTATCCCCAATCCTCCATGTAGGACCCATTTCAACTTCTATGCTACATCATTCATGAGACATGCTATTTGTTTCCGTGTGTCTTCAGCAGCCTCTTGGTTTGATATCCCCATAAATACATAGAAAACTGTATAACAGAATCATAACCACAATTATTTTCCATTGCATTGGATACAGAAAGCATGGTTACTAATTTTAAGCCAAGCAACACACCCAAGGGTAGCTATTATGCAAACATTATTAGAAACAAGGCTCTCTTCTCTCCCTTGATTAATGTCCTTCCTTATGAACACGGTTGTTTAAGGCCTCTTCTACATAAAGAGAGCCAGAGTCCATTAATATTCAACTCCAGGAAATAACCTTGTGAAAGATAAGGCTTAAAAACAAAATAATGAGCTGTTGTGATTACAGAATTATTCTTTATTTCTTGAACTCTGAGTTTCCTCTTTGGTTTTCATATAGATTCTTCATAGCAGAAATGAATGCTTCAAATTTCCAGAAGCAAAGAGAACTTCAATTTTTAATATATCAGAAAGGCTACTGGGTAGATGACTAAGTTTCTTGGAAAAATAAATTGTATGAACCTACATAATAAGATAGGAAAAGAATGGAGAGAATTTTTAGAGGTGGTAAGTCGAGTCCATCTTATGTAATGGGTTATTTTTCTCATTATATCATACCTTCAAAAAATGGTTATCCATACTTATCTCAAGACAGAACGAAAAGACTGCCTCGAGGGAACTTGTCTTTCTCACAGCCATTCTTTGTGAACCTGAATTCATAAGAGCTTGGATGTTCTCAGACATCCCACATGGAAGAAAAATATGACTTCTACTACTGAGAGCCCCCAAAAAGAGAAAATAATGCCTACATCATTTGTATCCCTCCAAAATTTACCTGGAAGCTTTATCAACATTGTGTAGTAGGTGGTGAATCCTCTAGGGAAGTGATTGGGTTATGAGCCTCTGCTTTTGTGAAAGACATTAGTGCCCTTATAAAAGAGAGACCAAAGAGCTACTGAGTCTCTCCATCTTCTCTGTCATGGGTGAAGGACAGAGCATCCATCTCTGTGATGTTCTAGCATGTCACAATGCAGAAAGTAGAGATGTAGCCTTGACATGAAATCTCCCAGCCCCTAGATCCTAGACCGCTCAAACTCTAGATCGTGAGAAATAAAATGGTATAATCTTAATGCTCCTTATTGATGCAACTTATAGCATTTTGCTATAACAGCAGTAACTGATTTAGAGCCCTAATGACCCCCTCATGCCAGGCCTTGCTTAAGATAATGAGGATATAGTGACATACAAAGCAAAATTCATTCTCTCCTGGAATTTACGTTTAATCAAAAAGTACAAATAAGATATGACTTTATACAGGAAAGCCTATACTGTAAATATGTTGGGACTCTGACTGCTCAGGTGTTACTCCTTAGCTAGCTACAGTCCTGGGCAAATCAGCTTGCCAAGATTCAGTTCTCTCATGGAAAACTGAAAATCAAAACCAGAATATTTTGACACTGTGCTATGCAAACTGTGGTGGTTAGTCTTAAATGTCAACTTGCTATAAACTAGAATCACCTGGAAAAAGTCTCAGCTGAGAAATTACCTAGGTAAATTTGGCCCTTGGCTTGAC